CAGCAGGATTCACACCACACTCCACTCTAAGTTCAGACACAAGCCAGTGCAGGAGGACTCGCAACCCTGAATGCTTTATGAACGTTGTAAGTTGGGTCACCTTCTCTCCCTTTCTTTCTAAACCTTCTCTCCTAGTACCACTATTCCATCACTAACAGTCCATGTCAGGAAACTAAGAAGGGACCCTTACACATTTCCTATTTTCCCAACTTGCTGTTTCCAAAACCACTGCTTTAGAGTCACTGCCACAATGAGTGCTGGCTCTGAATGTGCCTGGGACAGATGTGACACTTGTATGAGTCACATGAGGACAGATATGTAGCACTGCAATGAAGAGTACTGACTACTATTTTTGGCTCCAAGGCTAGCCAACTGCCCAGAACCTCCTGAGGGGCACTGGAGATGCAGGCCACTTAATTTTGACCCCAGTAACAAGTCTCAGCCCTGGACTGTGGCCAGAGCACAGACTACATGCTCCAGTCCATACCGAACTGAACAACAGATTTTTTCTACGTGAATTTAGGGTGCACCCCAACAGATATATATGTGAGGCTGGGTCAAGTCATTCTTCATGACACCTGTTTGCGGTCAGTTCTCTCAACACATGTTGGTATTTTATGCTACTGCACGAAGAGAGGAATGCAAACTTGGCAAGAGGACAAAGGACTCTCCAGCACCATTCTGGAAGAATCCTTGATTTTCTTATCAAACAGGCTGATCTGCCAGAGAAAATAATTTCTTTGCAAGGGAGGCAAAGTCTGGTTTCTAATCTCAAATGAAGCAAAGGCCTGCCCTTCTGTAACAACCTGTTTTCTCAGTACAGTGGTAAAGGAGGTTGAATCTCTACTCCATAAAGCAGATTCTCACAATGCAAACTAATTCAAGATGCTTCACAGAACATGCAAAATTAGGTGTAAGTGGTCTCAAGAGTTCCTTTCACAAGACCTCCACCCTTGTTTGCCTTGCCTATTTGCCTTGCCTAACTACGCTTTGGCAAGAAAGGATTCATTATTGGCCATCCCCACAGATTTTGGCATTGTCTTATACAAACAAGGGCACTGATTTTATCTGTGGATAGGTATCAGTCTTGCAAAACATGACAGATTATCTCCCAAAAGGTTAGTCACTCAGTACAGTTCTGCTTTGTCCCATAAGAGGGAGTCAAATACCAGACAGCTACTATCTCAGCAGGTCTGAAGAGGACTTTGCTGGATCTTTTTGCAAGCCCTGTAATATTTATTCTCAGCCATGGTCCCTTGCATTAGCATCACAGCCCATCCCACATTCACACAGCTCATCCTAGTTACCTTCCAGAAACAGGACAACTTGTATGTTAACAAACTCTCCTTTGGCTTTCCACAGAGTGAAATTATCAGATACCATGGATACCCTAGTGAAGAATATGAAGTTACAACGAAGGACGGATACATTCTTGGTGTTTTCAGAATTCCAGCTGGGAGGAACAGACGAAATACAGGTATGCCACAGTTATAGGACATAAGGAAAGTCTGAGAGCCAATTCTTACATGGGTTCCCCCATCTTTCCCCTTTGCACATGCACATTCTAATAATTTTTTCATGTGCCATTTTTTTTCCTCTCGTATGTGCTGGAGGATGACTTGGTAGATTGGGTTTGGGGAGGTTTTGCATTAACACCCAAAGTAATATACATATAAAATAGAAACCTGACTACAAAACTTCACAGGCATATGAATATTAATTTACAGACTTCTGAAGAACAGAGGTGTTCTTTAGGAAAGAGGTAAAAAATCAGATCATCTATGAAAAACAAATGCATTTCATCAGCTTCATCACATTTTCTGAATGGAGTAAAAATTTCTAGCTGAAATTTGATATACCTTGGGTACTGCCACTTTGTTTATTACTCCTTGTTAGAACTTCAGAATGGTTCATTTTAGATTCCTTCTCCTAATTTGATCTCCTCCCCTGGAGATCATTTGGACCAGCCTGGCACTCAGAGGAAAGCTAACCAAACTTAGATCAGGGACCTCTCAGCCCTGCTCAGTTGGTTACCAAAGGGTAGATTACGCTTCTTGGGATGAATTTTTTTGTCTTCCATATATAACAGTGTATGGAAGGTGGTTTCAGTATAAGGGCCTGTAAGCTGGCTTTCCAGTGTAAGAGGATGTGGGTACAGGCCTCCTCAGTAAATTCTTTATTTGCCAGACCTGTCATAAAATGGTTATGAAATGTCATAAAATGGTTCCTGCTTGCATGGAACAAATCCTTCAGGTTTCTCAGGCCATGTATAGTTCTCCTGGGAGCTTCTTAATGAAGGAAATGTCTCACAAACTGAACACTGCACTCCAATATTAAATACACATTAATTATTGATTCAATATGAGGATATTTTAATCTTTTTCAGGGCAAAGACGTGTAGTTTTCCTGCAGCATGCCTTCCTAGGCGACGCTACTCACTGGATTTCTAACATGCCCAACAACAGCTTGGGCTTCCTCCTCGCAGATGCTGGCTATGATGTCTGGATGGGAAACAGCCGAGGGAACACTTGGTCTTTAAAACACAAAACCCTTAAGTCCTGCCAGAAAGAGTTCTGGCAGTTCAGGTAATCTGTAGAGGGAGAATTATTCTACGTAGAAACTCCAAAGGGATTAGACAGCTTCAGCCTGATTGCTTTCACCTAAACTAGCATCAGAACAGATCTACACCAACCAAAGAGAGCAAGGAACCAGACTAAGAAGGAAGGTCACTACTACTCAGAGTTGGTAGCATTGGCTGGGGAAGAGATTTCAGACACTGGGGAATCAAATGGGATGCTGAGGAAAAGGGATAATACTGTGAGATGGAGAGCAAGAACCTCAGCTGAAACAGTCTGAGCAGCCTTGTCTAGAAATTTTTGATGTCTCACAGTTTAATTCAGTCAAGACAGAAATGTGTTTTGTAGCCCATGCTGGTGAAAGCATTGGTTCAGTTCAGTTCCCCAAGGGCTGCAGCTGTCAGACAAAACTGGCACCTCCTTCACAGAGAGCTCAAGACATCAGGCAGCCTGGCCATGCAGCTGTGTCCCTCTGCCCAATTCCCCAACTCAAGCAAGGATGCAGACACAGTATGCAGCCTCATCCTTCAATGGGTCCTGCTTGGTGCAATGAACAAAACTGACACTCAGTGACCCACACTGTGGTTGCCAAATTGTCTGCTAGCTTTTTGTGTTTCTCCCTGTAGCTTTGATGAAATGGGTAAATATGATATTCCAGCAGAGCTGTACTTCATCATGAATAAAACTGGGCAGAAAGATGTATACTATATTGGTCACTCTGAAGGCACAACTGCAGGTAAGACTCTTATTCACAATCATTCATGTTCCTGTCTGGTCAGTAGGTGGGCCTCCCATTGAGTCTGTTGTTTTTCTTGTTTGTAGAGAGCTAGAAAAACATAGAGGTTTTACTGGGTTGAGATTTGGAAAACATGCAAAACTTTTCTAAAATCAGTTTTGGTTACACCTGATAAGCAAATAAACCTAATAGCAGATGCAAATATAGTTCAGCTTTTTTAATAATTGGAGTCATAGAAGTGGTTATTTACTGGGTACTTCCAGTACTGGCATTGGGTATTTTTCTCAACAACAGAAATTTTCATTAAGTTCTTCTTTTGTATTAAGACATACAATTAGAGTCATGGAATCATAGAATATCCTGACTTGGAAGGGACCCACAAGGATCCTTGAATCCAACTCCTGGGCCTGCATAGCACAGTCCTGAGGATCACACAATGTGCCTGCGAGTACTGTCCAAACACTTCTTGAACTCTGGCAGGATCCATGCTGTGACCATTTCCCTTGGGAGCCTGTTCCTTGTAAATAGGATGGAAAAACTAAAAAGACAAAACAGCGCATATACTTCATAATATAAATTAACAGAAGTCAAGGAAAAATAATCTCAGCATTACCAAGTCATCTGATTTAGTGTCAATCTTATAATTTAACACATAGTTAATGAGTGGCTATAATTGGCCACATTACTGTTTAAAAACAAAGTACTAGAGACTGAAAACTAGGAAAGAAAACCATTAATTGCTTATTTTCTCCTAGGGTCAGCCTTTAGCATTAACTCATTTCATGGCCTCAGAATTCAGCTTTCTTTTAGCATCAGCTGAAAGTTCTTGATATTTATGGTTTATGTGTAAGATCCATGATTGGACATTGATTAGAAATGAGTGACTGCCAGTTCATTAGTGTAAACAACCTAGAAAAAAACCTACAAGGAAATGTGGGCAAACCATATATTGTCACAGCTCCAGACCTTTTCTTTTCCTCTCATACAAGTATTTAAAGACCCTCATGGCAAAACAAACCATCTAGGCTTTCTTTGGCTGCCTTTGATGAAACAATCAGTTGAAAACACTAAAAGCTCCCAGTGTTCAGCTAATTATGCTACAGTTTCAGGGAAGCATAAACATGCATAGACCTTTAGAAGCTATAATCTGAAAAATCTCTCTTTTTATGAGTTTTTTGAACTTTTGAGGGAATTGATGTTACCATGAAGACCTCATTGACATGTTGCCTACAAAAACTGTTCTGATAAAGGTAATGCCCAGACATGCTCTGAACCTCAGAATGAACTTTGTCTCTCAAATAAAATTAGCTTCAGGACTTACCTTCAACACTTGCCTTAAGTAAAACATGCAGCACAGACAAACATGAACAGACAATGGTCAGGAAATCTGGTATTACTTCTGTTTGCTACCTACTGTTTATATACTTATTTTATCTGTAGAAGATATCTGCACTAACTCAGGCTGTCTCCTCTGTGTTTTCAGGCTTCATAGCATTTTCTACGTACCCTGAGCTGGCTAAACGGGTGAAAATGTTCTGTGCTCTGAGCCCAGTAATCACATGCTCACATGCTACAAGCCCTCTAATGAAGATAGCAAATCTTCCTCCAGCACTGCTCAGGGTATGTCATTTTTCCTTCTAAGAGGTCCAATGCCTGACTTACCTTCACAGGCTTCACCCAGCTTGGGACAAAGTGTTCCCAAACAGGTGACATGGTGATACTGAGTCTGGGATGAATTGTGTAAGAATCTGTTCGCAAACTCTGTGGGGAAAATACTCAGGATATAGAACTTGTAGCAGCAGGTCCCAGTGAAGTAGGAGACTTGTGAAACTTTGTCCTGTTGTAGAACTCTTGTTGTTAACTAATATTTTGCTGGCCTCATACAGTAGGAACTAAACCAGAGCTGCAATAACAGCCATAACGATCTCTAGGACTTCAAAAATAAGTTGGTATTAAGGTCACTACACAAGAAATGGAAGGATGGCTTCCTCCAGGATTGATGCCAGTAATGTGAAGAAGGAAGAATAAGCAATGCACTATGGGGAATAATTAAGGGGTACTGTCAGGGTAGTAAGACATTTCAGCACTCTGAATACTATGTTAGGAGGCTAGTCTGTTAGCAGTGGTTTCCTGCATAAAATGCTCCTGTAACAAGAAAAAAAGGTGTTGCTCTTTTCCTCAGTTAATACTTGGCTCCAAAGGAGCTATGCACCAAATCGGATTTATGAAAGGACCCGTGACGCAGTTATGTACAAGCCTGGATAAATTCTGTGCCCATGTACTCTGTTACATAGCTGGAGGCAGCATAAAAAATCTGAACATGGTGAGTATATGCAAGAACACCTACTCAAAGTAAAACTAAAGTGATTTTGAAAGCTACATTTGTGCATCCAATCCTTATCTAATTACTGTCACGCATGCAAATGTACATAAACCACCACATAGTTGTCAGCAGACCGAGCGAATGCCAGGATGTTGTGTGCTGCCAACAGTGCCAGTTGTACTGGCGTCTACGTTACTAGATATAATGATGATGGGACCAACAACTAGGTGCATTCCCATTCCAGATAGAAAGGGCTGAATTCAGACTGGAACTATATTGCATATGTCAGTAGGTGTAACCCCTTCTGGGGCTAAGCCAGACAGATTCTGGACACACACAGATGCTCTTTAAAAAGAGACAATGAATAATGGAGTCAGACTTCTTGGCAATGCAGTTCCCAGTTTCCTTCTTTAGCATGTGGACACTGGGGTCCTCTGAACAGTGGAAGAGCTAAAAGACAGGAGAAAAACACCCTTTTCTCTTCCCACTTTTCAGACTACTTGCCTCAAAATAACTACTGTAAGGGGCATTTTCCCATTTTTGTTGACTTTAGAACTGGACCCAACAGCTCAATCTACAAGGTGTAGAGCTACAGAAAGTCTTTCCACTGTGCTGAGGTGTGTGCAGCACACCTACAGTGGGATTCACAAACACTAGTGCATCAGTCACAGGGGATAGGAGAGACAGGAGATTTTCCCTATGCTTGCCAATATATGGACACTGGGGTGTCAATCCCCTTTACAGTGGCCAAAGTATGTAAAGTTGGTCTGCATAATGTTTATTACTGCAATATTTGTAATGACTGAGGCCCATTTTTCTCCATCTATAACCACTTTTAAAAGCACATATGGGAAAGTGGTTAGAATCAAAGGTTCAACGCAAAAGCAATTAAAGGCATTGCAGCCCTTTTGAATTTCAGAGCATTTCTCATTAAGAATATTTGTGGTTCTCAGGGCAAGGTAACATGGCTGAGAAAGAATCCAGAGAGATGGAATTGTAAAATCTTCTTAACAGATCTATAAAAATAGAAACAGAAATAAAAATGATCTGTTCTGTAAGCTGGCTTCTTTAGTACTAGGAGTAAAATGTAGAAAAAACTAAATCTTAATAAGACTTATACATGCATGGGGGGTTGGTGTGAGGTGAGGAATCTACTTTGAAAGGACTGAAAGGTTTTTCTCTACTGTTGCTGGACACAGGATCCCACAGTAGTACTATCTTAATGGAATAGACTTGCTTTCATGGAGAAGGTGTGCAGATACATACTCTTAACCAGCTATTCCAGGGTCTGCTTCTCAGTTTTCTGGCTGATATTTGAAGAATATCCCATTAAAATGGGGTTTTAACACAGCAGCAGTGTGTTGCTCATTTTCTGAAGTTTTATTCTGTCACAGCACTGGATGTCTGTCTTCATAAAAATTCTGCTTTCCTTCCAGAGTCGAATAGATACATACGTAGGACATTCCCCAGCTGGAACATCAGTACAGAACATTATGCATTGGCGTCAGGTATAACTGTGCACTGACAAATAAACAGTTTCTTACTACTGCTTTTTATGCAACTGACAGCCTGCAGGGAAATCCAGAGGCTGTGGATCTGAGGAACTGACCATCATACCTTCTCACCTACTGCACCTGCACACTTAATATGGTCCAGAATATAGATGTGCTACGGAGGATATCCTTGACAAAGATTCCCAGCAGTCAGTCCCACAGGATACAACTAGGCAGGAAATGGAGACAAAACATTCACAGCCAGTGACTTTACAGTCTATTTTGCCAGCCTCTAACAAAGTCAAGTGGCTACAAAGCAAACACAGATACAGTAAGATAGAACAGCAAAGGCAATACACCAAGCAATTTTCTAGCACATACCCAGCTACTTAAATCCTTAAAGTAAAGGTTTTCTAAACTGACAGACACTGAGTTTCTCTCACTCTTTATTACATAGACACTCAGAAACTTGTCATGTTTGTGCAAAAAAAACCCCACCAAGCAGGTGTGTAGTCACCTCTTGACCCATCAGTTCTACAAGGCATATTACAGGAGACCAGTAATAGCCCAGACACATTATAGACATTCAGGTCCTCTTTCCACATGACAACTGAACCCAACTCTGCATCATGAATAGGGAACCCAACTTCAGTTACCTAGGCTAGTCAAGCAAAATTTTAGTAACAAAACACACCAAGGGTATAAGATAAGGATCAGGACAGAAAGTCAGCAAAAGGTGATGAAGGCACTTACCCTATGGTCCATCCTCAGTACCTTTGAAGCCTGCAACCAGAGGAAGGGGTGGGAGTAATTCACAGTCCACTACCTGAGCCATAACTTAAATCACAGGCAGGAAAACGCCTCCTGCACTCTGCTTCTTAGTCTCTCATTACTTTTATTTTATCTGTTCCTTTAACAGCTAGCACATACTGACCAATTTCAAGCTTACAACTATGGCCCTAAGGAAAACATGAAGAAATACAACCAGGTAAGGCAATACAGTTTTCTCAAGAACTCATCCTTGGATCATGGTAAAACTAAGAATAGAAAAATTCAAATTTTAGCACTAATGAATGCTAACAAGGGGGGGAAATGTTACCAGGTAATTTCACCTGAATCTAATACTCATAAGTGTATAAGTCTATTCACAGACAAGGCATATATAGACCCTTGCAGACATCTAGCAGGAGTTAATTTTGCCTCCCCTACTGATGCAGCGATGTGTCCAATGACATGTCAACTTACATGCCATTCCCAGAAGGCTAAGCCATACCCAAGTCCTAGGGTTGGATGAATATGGAGCTCTTTGCTTCCCCCAAAATCCTCAAAGCCTGCCTTTCAGTTAAGGGAGGAAATTAATCTCACAGCCAGTGATCTCTCCAGTGTAGTGACAATCATTTCAATTTTACCAGCACACTTGACTTGCAGCATCAGCAAGTACTAGAACAGGCTGCTTTTCACAGACATGAAGGCTACAGAGATATAACTGGTCTTGTTATGGTGCTTGTACAGAAACCCTTTTCTAAACACAACTTCTGATACAACAACATTCACTCAGGTCTCCTCCCTTTCTTACAGACTGTTCCCCCTGCATACAAGATAGAGAAGATAAACATACCAACTGCAGTTTGGAGTGGTGGAGATGACACATTTGCCGATCCAACAGACATGGCGAGGCTACTTCCTCGGATTACTAATCTCATTTACCATGACCATTTTCCTGCATGGGGACATCTTGATTTCATCTGGGGCCTTGATGCAACTGAGAAAATGTATATGAAAATCATTGACCTAATAAAAAAATACTTTTGAAGCCATGTGCATAATGTTGATTCACTCAGTAAAAACCTCCAAAATTTCTATTTGGTAATGACAGTGATATCTGGGGAAGAGGTAAACACACAGACAAAAAATGAATACCTGTATAGGTATTTATCTGCTCTTATCTGTTTCTTGCTTTCCTCATAGTTTGAGGTTTTCCATGGTGTTACTATGACTGCTGTCTTCATCAAATGTTTGAGCTGTATAGGAATGAAAGCTGAAAACATGAATATATTGGAGCACATACTGGATCACTTAAATTGAACAGATTTTATTTCTACAAGACTGATTTTCCTAAGCCTAAATATTTTTGTTCTTGTGTACATCTTATGTACCCCACAGAGGTATTTCCATGCCCAATTTGTGTGTGGAGACTCAAAGTAGGATTTACTCATTTCTCCATTGAAGTACAACCGACCTTTGTTTAAATTAAATTATTGACAGAGACACTTGACAGAGAACTTGGCTTTTTTTTTCCGTCTTCACATTACCCTACACTGTCAACAATAGATCTTCAAACACAAGAAAATGAGCAGACAGTAGATGAATACCAAACATCAAGGAATCTCACCTCAGAAAAACTCATAGAAGTATTCTCCTGCCCTTCGTGCCTACAAATCACCCAAATGATTGTCCACACATTCTAAATCCCCCAGTTTCAAAGACTATGAATGTCAGATGAGGAATGAGGAGTTGTAGACCCATCTGGCAAGCTGCACTCCAATTAATACAGTTTCCACACCATGAATTATTCTTGACACTGGCAACAAAGTTGTTGTGAGCACTCTGAGCTATCAGCTTTGACTTTTACACAACTCTGTGTCTTGACCATTCTTTGTTCAAGCAGCTTCTAAAACACAGGAAAGCAGTCAGTTGCTTTGCTTTTCCGGCCGTTAGCCCTAAGAGATGGCATGTTCATTATCCATGCAAGCACCTCACATCTACTCACCTACAGACTTATCTGGTAGGTAAAAGTGTCTGTCCCTAGGTTACACACAAAGTGTTCATTATTACAGGCTCCAACAGGGTAGCTTTGTTTTCTGGGGTGTTTCTGGCTGCAGCCTCAAGCTCTTACCACCCAACAAAGACCCTTTGTACTTGGAGTTGGCATCCATTAGAGTAGTTACACTGTAAATTATGTCAGTCTTATGCAACACAGGAAAAATACATCAGCTTGTCCACGCACCCAGTGTAGTAGCCATTAGCAATGCTGATCATGGCATCTGTCTTTTGCGTTTCTAACAGCTTACAGGAAAAGGCCAAATTTGTCAACAAAAATAAAGATCCATTATACAAAGAAGGAAGATACAGCAGCATTTGAAAGGAGATTCACTTTTATTGCTGCAGTATTAAATCACAAAGCACCAGGCCACGTTAATACATTGCTTACCGCTGCAGGTTTTCTTCTGCCTTCACCTATGCAAGAGAAGACTCATGGTTGTATTATTATTGTGATTGGTATTATCCCCTGCTGCATGCACCACTCTGAGAAGAACGTTATCCTGTCCAGTCCCATGGGAAGGATACATCTGGTTCCCATCAATAGCATTTCATTTATTGATTTATTTTTATTTTAGTACATTGTTTATATTGGAAAAGTAGTCAAGAGACCTGTTTCTCTACTGTGCCAAACATATTTTCATTACTGTTTCTTAATGCTTTAAAGTGATCTGGGAATTGACTTTCTTTATGGTCTCCAGAAAGCCATTGAATCACTTTTTGCTGTTTCTTATAAAAAAAAAAGAAAGAAAGAAAGAAAGAAAAAAAGAAAAAATAATCCTCCCCTTACAGCAACATAGTGAGAATTGAAGTGTGTGAAACTTGTAGGAGGAATGGAAGAAGGAAGAGCTCAACTAAGAGATATATTTTCCAAGTTGCTCCCATTTTAGAAGGAGAAACACTTAAAGTAAGGGTACCAGACTTTATACAACTGCTGTGGCATATTGTTTAGCTGCCCCATGGAACAGCTAACACACACTCTAAAGGATATTTTAATTTTGCACTGGCTGCCAACCATCATATGCAATGTTTAGGCTTCCAGATATTTTACAGGTAGCTTTCAAAATTCACAGCCCATGGAATTCAAGTAATAAAACTCATGAAGCAGATGGGAAGGGCAATATTTTGAACATTGTTGTAATCATTCATGGCTTAGTAAAGTCAAATTAGCTCCTTTCAGCTCACACATGGCCTTGGGGGTACTGAGAAGTATCACACAAGATTGTCAAAGTCTGCAACAAGAAATAGGCGGATGTGGATGAAGTCTTTAAAAAGTAACAACCCTCAACCCTCTGCAGGACTTCTGTTGCTGTGCAAGATGGATTGTTAGATGTGGTAATTTTCTGCATGTTCCAGAGTCCTTGATGACTAGGAAGATTTACTTAGCATGCTCTCAATGTTGTGGAACTGCAATCTTCTTGCTATATCTAAAGGAGTCTCTCCATCCTGAAAGAAATAGATGAAATGCATTGAAATATGATACAGGTGAGTCACGTACAAAGAGCGTTCCTGATTTTGCCATCCAGTTGCAGTGCTCTCCTGTGTAAGTTCCCCTGTCACATCAATGCTCTAAAACAAAGGTTTCAGAACATGCGGGATCTAATACCACTCTGACCAAAGACAGGGACAGAAATCTTCCCTCTAGTATGGACTGCCATTCCACTGTTTCCTGAGACTAGTATTTAATAGTGCAGAGCTCAGCTAGGAGCTGATTTCAAAAGCAACATGGGCAATACATTGCTCACCTTAACTTGGTAATTCAGATACTCCCAGGTCAATACTGATTTGGGCAACATTTGAGCTATTCTGATGACAGAAGCAGCTTGACTTAGCCTCTCTCAGAAGAATGGTATCCAATGGCACAAAAAGCACCTACAAAGTGGTCCACAGCCTTCATCCTAGGAATAACTGTAGAGCGGCTCTGAGTTAAGAGGAGCCATAAAGATACCTAAGAGATACGCCAAACCAGGGGACATGCAGGCAGTGTTTAGTGGTAGAAATCCAGCAGTGGAGGATTTGGACTTTAAAGTTAGTCTTGTCAAAGGCAATGGAGCAAATGCTTTATACACCACAGCATACAGGTCTGCTGCTAGCAAGCCATGCACACTTTTCTTTAAACTGCCACACATCAGTAAAGGCCTACAACAGACTGGTTCCCCTCATGATCAGGAAATACAGTTATCAACTTCACCTTCTTACCTGATTCTTTACAGAAATGTCTGCATGAGCTTCAAGCAGCAGAGGAATGACTGTCTGGTTTCTCATTTCACAAGCATAGTGAAGGGCTGTGCTACCAGACTGAAGGGAAATGGAAGCAGATGAATTTTAGTTCTATGACTTTAGCAGATCTTAGGCAAGTACCTGTAGCCACATCAGTTTCTCCCCAACAGCTAGATGCAAAACTCACCTGTCTTTTCCTGTCATAATACATTACATAGTAAAACAAACACATTATAAGAACAACAGAACTAAAAAAGTAATTCCTTCCCTGAGATGCAGCTGCTAAAACAGGTCTGACACATTCACCAGGAAGTCAGTAGTTCTTTACTAATTTTAGAGGATTCCATGATCTTGATCTCAGCAACTATTTGCTGAGATCTTAAGCAATACTGTTTGATTGCACTTCAGTGTTTTGAAATTTGGTTGTTGATAAAATTTGGGTTTGTCCTTTTCTACCTCAGAGTAGAGGAGCTCTTTCTAACACCCAAGGAGGCTAATGGATACAGAACTCTGTATATAGCAGATCAGCACACCTTGAAGACCAAGAGAAAACACGGGGTGTAGCTCTGAGGCTCTTCTCCATTCCAAGAACTCATAAATTTTGATAAACTCAGATGCTTGTATCAGTAGAATCTTTACAGGATCAGGTATTTAATACTTAAGTATCTCAGATCAGTTTGCCTGGACACTCTTATGAGGGCATTGGTCAGAAAGGAAGAATTTGTTGATCAGTGGGGAATTATTTCTGTATACATTATAAAACTATTGCCTAAGTGTCAAGGGGAAACACTGAATCCTCCTGGTACATCACTGTCAGTTCAGTCCCTGATCCTCCTACTCTGAAAGCAGGACTCTATGTTGCTAGAAGGTTCTGCAGTCTTTTTTAGTATTGTATGCATGTGAACCATGTTTGCATTTGTATAAACCCACTTACAGAGTCTGTAGCATTCACATTGGCTCCAGCTCTAAGCAACATCTTGATCAGGTTTTCATTCTGTTTAGTCTTTGAGATCTGTTCGGTGCAATAGAAAGAGTAACACAGTGAGACAGTTGATCTGCATATAGTGCTAAGTAAATTTGTTCTAAATGCTGTGGATTTTTCCAAAACCAAGAGTAGCTTCTGCAAATGTCAGACTGATGTGGTGATACAATTCCGTTCCTTCACCAGCTGTATTCACACCAAAATTCCTGTTTCTTCTGTTGTACTCAATCAGTCCTTGCTTTAAGAAAGCAGTCCATATTCTATATAGGTTCCTGGCCTGAAACGCTGCCAAGATAAAGGCAAAGGGAAAGATACAGAGTCTTTCCTGCTTTCATCCAGACTCACCATGAGAAGATATCCAATAAGCATAACTGGCATGAGGATTATGATGAGCACATAGTCAAGGAAACTGAACCGTTTTCTCACAGCATAATGCAGGCAAGTGCGATCCTTCTAAACACAAAATAACTCTGATTAGTACCAGATTCAGTGATCTGACTTTATTTGTTTAACATTGACAATAGTAGACCATTTACATTTCACAAGTTATTAGACTACCTACTAGAAATATTCAAGCAGAAATAGACATATGCATTTTGCTTCCTTCAAGTAGAAGCACATTTACCACATTCAGGCTCATGAAAATTGGACTACACATGCAAGGAGGATGTGGGATCCAAAAGACTCCATGTGTATGTCTGAAAACTTGGATGGCTGAGAGAGCCAAAGGGCAGAGTGAACATCTCAGGTGACTACTACCACCACCCAGGAAGAATCCCCACAGCCCCTCTTCTCATGGAGGTGATGGTTACTGAAGAAAAGACATATGAGACTTTAGGACATCTCCTTTGGGACATCTGAGGAATACAGGCAAGTAGCAATAGCCCCAGCAGATTCTTAATGAGAACAAAGTTTAAAAAAATCTTTGGATACTGAGTGTACCAAAGAAACTAAAGAGCAGAGCTGTAAAGTTTTGTGCTGAAGGGTTAAGCTTCCTACAGGTTGTCAAATTGGAACTGACAAACTAGGTTACAGTGTTACATAAGGGCACAAAGTAGGCAGAGAAGCCTTTCTGTGCCACCTGCTGATCCACATTCACAGTCCTGAGCACCACAGTGCTCTGTGCTCAAGACGCTGATTGCATCTGTGAAGGGAAAGCATTTACCTTCAGGGGAGGCAAATTTTATCTCAAGGGAGACATTTAAGAAAGCCTGACATGGCTAGCAAATGGCTACCAATTCAATTTAAATTTTCTTACTGAGAAACACTGAACACTTTCACTAGGACTTTGAGGTAGAATGGAGAGCTTTCTGCATCAAGAATAGATGAGACAGAATATTCCACTGACCTCACAAACATTTGCTTCCCTCCTGTGAAATAAACAAATTCACTGGAAACCATATATGTCAGATAGCCCACAAATGTGTAAAAACTTGCTAAACATTGCCTTGTGGTATGAGATGATACACTGCAATTGGCAATGCTGTGAGGTTTTTTTTCTGGCTCTTTATCACCCTTAGCATCATAAGGATAAATTACTAATGAAGCCAGAACACACAGCTTTCAGTCACTTTTTATTTGTAACCTACCAGAAAGTTTATCACAAAAAGACATCTCCTAATTACATTAGTCATGGTACTTAGTTGTTGGCTGGGGTTAAGCCACAGCAGCAAGGCAGGTAGGTTTTCTAAAATAGGGAACAGGGCAGGAAGAGAGGGAAGGCTTCCCTCCTTGCCCCCAGGATGTCATTACATGTCATATTTCTGCTCTGTAGCATGACAAAATGCAGGTCTGCAGAGGAAATAAGGAAGGTTTTTGTAGAGTAAGTTTCTCCTCAGGAATACATTTGTGAAAGATGAACAGGCTCCTCTTCAGACCTTCCTTTTAACCAGGGTGAAGAAAAAGACAGAGGAAATAGAAGGCTCCAGAAGATGCAAGGTAGAGGGTCAGACAAATGCAGAGTGCTTCATGGGTAAGCAGGCAGAACCCACTGGGGACCAGCGATGGTATGCATTGTTACTTAGACGGGGAATGTGAACACAGAGAGAAATTCAGGTTGTCAATGTTTATTATCTTGTGTGCATTATTAAGTCAGGAAAAGAAATGATGAGGCAAACAGAAACATATAGGCTTCTTGAATTATAATTTGGGGGTTATACTTATGCCTCAGTAGGAAACAAACCAGGTTTGGCTGTGCTTGCCAGTGTCCCCACACATACACTCCAAGAATCTGAACGAACAGTCACTGCAAAGGAGGAGTTAGTGGCCACTTACCTTATTTCTGAGGTTGACATCAGCATGTTTCCTTAGAAGATAGCTAACTATCCTGTTGTTTCCCTGTTTACACGCACAAATTAAGGGGGTGTCTCCATGGAAGCTGTCCTGGATGTTCAGATAGTTGCTGTTGCGCTCCAAAAGGAGCTGAACTTCACTGAAATTGTTGTTGTATGCTGCCTGACAAATGGGCTGAAGGGAGAAGATAACATCTATCAGTATGTGTTTCACTAAGACATCTATACTTCCCATTCTGACTTCTACTCGCACATCCTGACGCTTGACAGAGGTTGTAGTTCCTGGTGATTTCCAGAAGATGGTGATAGGAGACACTCCTGCAGCTGCCACACAGCAGCTCTCAGCCCTCAGCCCCGGAGCTCACAGCCTTTGCACAGTGGAATGACTTTTCTGTTCGTTTTGGATGCTATTTCTATAATCCAAGAAATAAATCCGGTTTATTTGCAGCCATTGAAAAAAAAACGGCTTCTGATCTCTTAGGAGCTTGTCACTGTATTAAGCAGCAAGCAGGGACAAGCACACGCCTCTCTGAGTTTACAACTGATTTTCCCTTTGGCCCACTGCTGAACATAAGATACCACATCCTGACTCATCCGTTCTTAGAACAGAACCATGATTCATGTCAAAGCTGAAAAACCAAACTCTCTCGATGTCTCTTTTCTAGAGCTTGAAGTTAAACTTTCTACCTAAAAACTGCCTGCTGTATGCCCACAGCTCAGATCCTGGTTGGCTTTTGAGAACTGCTTGCTGCTCAGCTCGTTGCTCAGTATTTCTACACATCCTTGACCCAAACTGCAACTGCTTCCCCCTTCAGCAGTAAGCATTCAGACTGTGGAAAGGCTGAGAATGGTAGGAGTACTAACAGGAATTTCTAACAGCCTACAGGCAGACAATAACAGTGAGAGGTGGGGCAGACTGCTAGCATTTGAGTTCTCCAGTCGAAAAGAGAAACAGTTTCTTTTCTCCTGTCTTTGATACTGAGGATATTATTCACCATTTTCTAAAGTAGGAATTTTCCTTAAATATTATCTGTAGTTTTTCCTTTCCATTCTCCTTTTTTCACATCCTAAATACACTACACAAACAAGACCTAGCCCTGAACTCTCAGCCATTTACTCACTCCCCCTGCAGTTAGTTCCCCCTGACCTCTGAATTAAAACCCATCTTATTTATATTTTCACTTCAGCCAAACTTTAATCTACAACACAAGTTTACTTCCAGCATCATTACTGCTTAGTCTTCTGGACAGCTGCATAAGACAAGCGATTTGATTCCAAACAAGGTATTTACATGCTTACCAGACCTCGCAGCACTTCCCGTTTTGTTTTTGTTACATCAGACAAAAATCTACAAGGAATACAGGCAATATGGTAAATTTGCACATCTGTCTGTATTCATATAAAAACCTGCATATACCATTTGGTATTTTGTACTCCTCCAGAACCAGAACTATTTTAACTATTTTGAGGTGAAAACCCTCCTTTAAATACCTTTTGGTGTGATTTGCTGTTTGGTTGAACACCTGCACAAATCCCAGTCATTTACCATGCAAATTTACTCCTTTCTAGACTGACTCTTGCTAGTTCAGCAGTTTGTGTCACCACATGATATGCTTTTTTGGTTTTCTTTCTGTACTGCCTCAAGGACTCTTACTTGCTAGGCCATTAAACCCAAGGCATTTCTGACTGATACTCTCATTGACCTGTGGGATCTTTGCCTAAACCTTACACTACTGTTGAACTCAATTCTAGAACCATGAATAATGATGGAGCACATACCACTCCCTAGGAAAGTACATTATTTGAGACTGAAGTCATGCACAGGGACCAGCACACACAAGTCACATGTACTCTTTTACCTACCAGAACTGGCAGTTCACAGAAAACATCCAGTGCACAGAGAATGTAAAGAACGGGTTCTTTGTAGAAATTATTCTCTCCCACACAAGTAAGTTCCATTCATATTTAAAGGAAGAAAAAACCCAATTTTTTTCCCTAGTTTTATGACATTTTCTGGAGTCCTCCTCTGCTGGTTTGTATTCTATAAAATGCCTCTTTTAGTCAAAGAAGAATAAAAAGTCCCATAGACCAAACTTGTAATATACCTCCCTAACTGGCAAACATGACTCCATGACTGGGAGAGAAAGCATAGTAGCAGAATATTTAAGTAAGGGAACAAAGCAATACAAACAACTCAATGTTCATTATATTGATATCAATAACAATAGGACTTCAGAAAAAATAGTGTTAGGAAAGAATAAAGATAAGAAAAATTACAAATAGGTGGCAATCAGCCGCATGGGTAAGAAAAGCAATAGAAATTGCAACCGGTGGCCAATGCTATATTAAGGCAGTGTTTCTCACAGAAAGGGAAGAGAGCTGTTATAGAAGGCATTTAACTGGGATAGTGGATACAGTTCTTGTCACCTGGGTTCAAAAATGAGATCAGACTATGGCAGGAGCATGAAACATCTCTTCAACTGAGGAATATGAAGAGCCTAAAGAAAGACTGATTTGCTTAGCTTGGCTAGGGAGACACAGGGTTATAAGTGTTCCAAAATAAATAAAAGGGTAAGTATTAGAGAAGAAGAGCCAACTAATTTCATGGAACAAGGTGAAAATGGAGGTGTATCTGGCCAAGAAGCTTAAACTTACTTAAGTAAAGTACCTAAACAGGCTTTCAGTAGCAGCAGAATCTACACAATACCTGCCTGGCTCCAGGCTGGAGCTTGAGTAGTGTGCCAGGGTTTCTGTGGTTGTGAAGTCTCTGCCACAAATCCCTTTCACCTTTCATGTTTTTGGGTTGCCACTCTGGCAGCCCTATCTAAAGTAGTACTAACTGTGCCTAAAACTGTTTGAAACAATTCTCCAAACTTTGCTCATAAGACAAATAATAGAGTTTCATACAAACAGATAGTTAGATCGTACCTATCTGGAGTATCAGCAAGGAGGCAAATTATGAACTTGGAAGAATGTTAGGTCCAAGCAGTAGATTCCATCCAAAACCCAAGAAAGCATGTTTCCTTTATGTCTACAGAAAAGGCTGGAGACTAAAAGACTGGAACCCCTCACTCAGTTTCCTACAGTGTTAGAAGACCTCTTCAGCAGTGATGCAGCTTACCAATCAGCTTCAGATTCATGTTATGGTTATTACTGTTGTATTAACCATATACTTATGTTATTATTATCCACCCATTATATATAAGAGTGAGATAAACCTATGGATACATACTCAGAATAACATGCAAGGTGGAAGCAGTATCTGAAGAATCCAAAGTTCATGTTTCAGACTTGGGTTCAGCTGTGGAGAAGAGCAGGAATATGAGAGCAGAAGTCTGGTGACAGTGTAGAACAGCCAGGAGACGTGATATAGGTTCCCATGTTAGAGATGCACTGGCAGCACAGCCATAAAGTCTATGACATCTCCTTTAGAGATGTGTGAGAAACAAAGGCCAGTGCTCCCACAGCATAAAACTCTGAAGAAAGCATCAGTGGGAACTGAACTCACAACTTCTGGAGAGGTTTACAGTCCAAGACACATAGTGGCTACTCTCATCTAGACCACATTATTAATCCCAGTGTCCTGACAACCCCGGGGAACTCACAACAGAGCTGGCTCACCTCCATTACATAGCAGGGCAGACCTGGCACAGACACAAAAAAAAATTGCACTCAATATGAACACAAGCTCAGCTCTGAAGGGAGAGAGAGCCAGACCAAGAATAGGCTTGGTTGGCTTAGGTAAAGAGGAGGCAAGTGCCTTTGAACTGTCTGGCAGCAAAGTCCTTCACCTCTGCTCACAGTCACACTTCTGCAGCATCACTCAACATTCAGGCAAGATGCACATGATGAACCTGACAGTGTGACACTGCACAAAACATAAGATTAAAAGGAGAGAAAAAAGAATCACACTGCCAAACTCCTTCCACCCTCAGTGGTGGTGCCTTTTCCCTGCTGTGGCATCAGGGCTAACCATGAACTAAAGCACAATCTGCCCAACTGAAGAAAGCAGTGGGCAGACACTGGGGACTGGAAATTAGAGTTTGAAGATCAGATATGCTGATGATTGAGTGCTTAAAATCTCTCTTTTTACAACACTTCTTCTTCTACAAGTCCTTCAGGGGAGGAACTAATTGTTCAGTTTCTGAGCCTTCAGGAAAGGTGAGAAGTACTCACAGGACAGGCAAGGGTTTTCCTGGCTGAGATCAATCAGTACAAGATCACCAGATAAGCGGTGCAAGAAAAACAATTAAACTTTCACTGTCAGAAAGAACAATTCCTCTACAGAAGTGATTTTCGACTTTTTTTTTTTAAATCAGTTGTGGGACATGTGATTGATGTTAGGTTCTGGTAGTTCACCGAGGTCCAGGTGAATGGCCAGATCTGAATTTGTCTGCTTGTTTTCAGAGTTTCTTGCATCTCTCTCTGTTTTAGCTCTGCCAAGCTAGTGATAAAACTCAAGCTATTTAGCAAGTTCTACCACACATGAAATAAAGATTAAAGGCACAGCATGAAGGACAAACCATTCAGCCAGGAGACAGGAGAGGAGCTGAAGGTAAAGCCTGTTTTGCAACTAGGAAAGCAATTTCAGTTTATAATTCCTTCCTCCTTTGAGAACTGCAAGGGATTGACTAAATTACATCACTACTTTGCAGATCTTTAGATAAAAAATGGAGACACTGTAATGTCAAAGTATTCTGAACCAATCCATAGCCTCTTCCGGTGCATTAAAATTAGTCTAAAGGCATGCTGTGAACTAAACAGGAAAATCTAAATTATGTTTAGGATGCTGAGGAATGCACCAATATCCAGTGCACACTCCCTAGAAAAGGCAATTTACATTTTCTTATCTTCACTTCTCTAGATTTCTATCCTGTATAAATGAACCATACTTTACCCAGAAAACTGTACCTCAATTTTTTTAAGGAAGGAAAGTACTGTATATGAAAATATTAACTAAGCATGGAAGATATGGACAGCATTTGAACATTGTTTAAACAACCCTTTAATTAAGCTAGATGACACTGGTTTCTTGTGCAATGCTATCTCACAGTAGTAGATCTGGAGAGAGGCAACAACTCCTTTCAGAATAAGGTGCAGTCTATTCAGCTGATCACCTTATGAATGCACAGATTCAAGCCCCTTGTAGTACTGAAAGAGGAGCAGATACTTGAATTCACTGAATAGCCTTTGAAAAATAAAAGGGTGGCTTTCAGCATAGAAATGTAAGCTTTTAAAGGAACACCTATGCAATGCTACCTCCAGAAAAAGAAACAGCAGTGCAACCCACTGTATTCACAGTCAAAAAGGACCAAAATCCTCATTTACTTCTACATGGACAAATGGGAAGTTTATAAAACAATATGTTCAGGAAGCATTTATGCTAAAGTCCAGAAAAATGCTAAATGAACCACGGTCTGTGGACAAGCCCATAAAGATAAGACCGAAAAAAACCACATTACCTTCCTAAAACAATTGGTGGGGGAGGGGGTAAGGGGGTGAAAAGGATATTTTCTTAGGCATTAGCTTTATTATCTATATTCAATGTTAGCCAAGGAACTGTCTGCAATTTGTTTGTTGTTTGCACCATGTTCAGAATCATTCTGATCTCAGCACAGAACAACAAAAATGTTGAACACATACTTTGTGAAGTCACAATAATCACACTAGTTATGCCTTTTCTTAGCTCCTACAAACAATACTTCTGTCACCTTGCAATAGCCAAATTACAACTGTACCAAAGGGAAAAAACTTCCAGATCCGTACAAGCCTGTCTATGGGAGGCTGCAAAGGGAACAAACCAAACCCAGTGAATATCCATACCCTCAACAGCTTCAGTTACAGTGCAAAAAGTGGTAACATACCTCTGAGTAAAGTATCCCCATGCCTATTCTTCACTGCTTGAGTTTGTTCTTGTTCAACAGCCCAACAAGTTAATCTCACTCGAAATGCTTGAGCTTGTTTGAATCTGGTTAATATTTAACTTAGAAGTATCACTCTTCATAAGCTACATTTCCTTTCAGTGCTTTCCACTTGGTAGCATAAAACAATTGTCTTCAGAAACCCAACCCAGGGAGGTAAACGTGAAAACAGTGGCTTATGGGAGACTGACAGAACAAGTTACAACACAGATGCATTTTCCTTTGTCATTTTGTTGCAATAACATCCTCCAGTTACCTAAAAAGGAAAGTAGCAAAACAGGCTGAGAAGGGGAGGAGGGAGAGAGAGAGGATGAAAGTTTCACAAGTAAAGAAATGGAAGGAGGAAAGAATTAAAAGCATGAAATCTGAAACTTAGAGTAAGTAAATATGAATGGTAGCTAGTTTGCCACCCAAGCTACTTTTGACTAAAACATTTTACAAACCCTCTGCAAGAACACCTCAAGATGCCTGTCAGGAAAAGGGAAGCAACTAGACCCCACACCTTTAATGAGAGTTCCCAGTACAATTAGCATCAGTCTCTTATTAAACAGGCTGGCTACTTTCATCACCTTTTGCTCAGCCTTCCCTTCCTAGCCCAGCCCAAACTATGAATATGATTCATGCTGAATCTGGTAATTTTATATGTTAATTGCATTAGAGATCTCTTGGGAAGAAAATTCTTGTTGATGGCTCTGAGGACAAGATGCTGATAGGATTTCTGTACTATATTCAGTCTTTCTAAGTAGGGCACATGTATTTCAAGTGCCTACCCATGCCTCCAAATATCTTTTCCCATTATAGTTTAAATGAATGTTTCCTGTATTTCAAGCAAATTTTAAAACAAGTTTTAAATCCAAGCCCTTTACTTTACATTAGAGAACTTTTATTTCCATCCAATTTTCATATTTCTTCCCCAGTGAGGTGGAAGACAATGTAAATTACTTATACTATTCTCTGATCAAAGTAGCATAGCACCACTGGCTGTAGTGCTCATTTGCTGGCACCAGTTCTAACTCTTTCAGTGGCTGTTTATCTGAAGAAAATTAAGTTGGCATGTAATAGAAATATACACAACACCTACCTGTGACAAAAATCACTAGGATCCTCACAACGGATTGATCTTTCAGCATGTGGTGAATATTCTGTTGGACTAATGACATGGAGGAATAGGAAACACCTCAAAGGTAAAAAGGTATTCCTCACCAGTACTTCTTCACATCCAGATCCTAAGGAATTCACATCCTTCTGCATTAACTGGCCAGGATGTTGGAATTTATAAACTACAGCTTGTTGAAAGAAATGTCAAACTACTAAGTTGTTACACAAAATAACTTAGTAGTTCAATTAATCCTTTTCTAAACACAAATAAATAAATGTATGGCAATTTGAAAAAGTATTAGAAAAAAAACCCAAACAACAAACAAACCAACTGAAAAAAAAGGCCATTTCTACAAAGCAGAGCAATATCTTCAAGCAACAATTCCCCCAAGATAATATAAATTACCATTTAATCCAGCATCACGTCTCAGGTTCTCTTGAAAAGCATGGAAGTGACTACTTTGTTCAGAGATTCAGCTGGAGAACAGATAAGCAATGATTAGGTACAAGACTCATGGAAATGTATAGAGTCACATATTGCTTTAGTGTTCTTTGCCAGGCTTATAAATGAAGTTTAGAATCCTGACAATTTTAGTCTTTTTTGTTTAATAAGTCTGTTTTTCTCCAAAAAGCACCAAGACTCGATGAAAGGTCAAACCAACTCAGTCTGTGTAGGAAACATGATTCTTACTTCCTGACAGAATCGAACACCACTTCAAAAGTTTCATGTGAGCCAGAAGGAAACTGTCTGTCAGAAGTGTCTGTCACCAGGGAAATATCAAGGGCAACTAGTTTGTTAAACTAGTCAATTAAATTTCAGGACAGCACATTCAATAAAAGACATGGAAGATCATTTGCCTCTTTAATTTCCAAGCACCAGAGACTGTATTGCTCCAAATGGCATGAGTTACACTGCTCTCGGGAAAGAAACCTGTGGCCTGTTGGAAGATGTGTGTGTAGAACAGTCCTCAGAGAAGCATATTCCCAAGAAATGCAGTCCTGGAATGGACAGTGTCCAGACAAGAGGAACACTCACCCCTTATACTTTCCATCAGAAGACTGTTAGCTACTTGTACAACATTCCTGTAGCACTTCAAGAGCCCTTTGCACCTCTGTTTCAGGACAGGATTAACTCAACAGATCCATCAAGAACAAAGAAGCCTCTTCACTGCACGGGCCAGAGCCTGTATTTTATAACACTTTAAAATGAACTCATGCTATGTTCAGCCCTAGGCCAGACAACCCGGGCTTCAATTTTCTAAACAGAACTCTTACTATTTCAGCTGTCCTGTCTCTAAGTAAGAATGGCACATCCTGGGAGGTTTCTGTGTGCCTTCTACGTTTTATGTTTCCTATGCTCTTTTTATATGCATTACTTTCATTGTCTCTTTTCCCTATTCAGGTGGGTTAACCTGTCTTTTGCTCTTCACTTGATTCCTATTAACAATATCAGAAAAAATATCATACACCACATATGCTGGCATGAGGTCAAATAGGTAAAATGTTGCAAATCATTCCAGCCTGACAATTCTAACACAATATAATGTAGTATTGTGTTAGCTGGGAGAAAAGTGTTCAGTATCTCTCACTAAGCAGGGTATCAGACCTGCAGAGCTGTAATGTCTTTCATTGAGAAATAACTAGTGTGGTAACTCTAGATCTAGATCTAGATGTGGTTAACTCTCAGCTTCTATTTACAAACAAGTACTTACTTTACACATTTGCGCATACAAGGCAGCAGATCACTAGCACCAACATTCCAAAGAATTAGCTGCACCAGAACACCAGGCCAGTTTCAGTGAGGACCAAGCTCCCTGGGGCTGACAGTGCTTCACTAACCCAGTATCACTAATCCCAGTATCACTAATTCAGTGGTTAGGCAGAGGTCTCCAGCATCTTGTGTTTTCACAAAATTCATGGAAATAGCTCAGAAGAAATAAGAAGAAGTGTTAGCATCTTCTCTTGACTCAAAGTTTACACAATGTTTTTGAACTTAATACCTGAAAATCCCTAGAGAAGCAAGCTAACTCAGAGCAAACTGGTCCTTGCATGTTGTGGTACTCCCTGAACAACATATGTAGGAATGTGTGTGTTATGCTAAATACACACCTGTCAAATCACTTGTATTTTTATACTAAGGTTACCTAACAAAGAAGGATTGTCCACAAGGAATTTGCAGGTCACAAACAGCAGGTCTGAAAATAAGCAATGGGTGTGGAACCAGTGCCCACATCAGCTTCTGTATTACCCACAGCAGCAGAGATCACGTTCATAGATAGAAAGTGTTGAAAGAACTGGATTTTTTCTCCTCTTCATCTCTAAATAAAGTGATCACAACACTTTCTGAGACAGGTAGCAATACAGATAAAGATGATAAAATCACAGAACATTCAGATTTGGAAGGGGCCCATGAGGATGACCAAGTCCAACTCAAGATCTCTCTTTCCTTGTTGCATAAAGATGTCTCCATAAAGATGTGCTGTCTTGGTTCTGTGCAGCTGCTTGCCAGAGCAAACAGCCTGCATCCTTTTTTTAAGCTGCAAGCCTGATGCTATGCATCAAAGTGCATGTTTGCTAAAGGAGAGGAAGAAGTCTTTGACCAGCACAAATGGGAAAAAGAAGAAACTATGGTTTCATTTTCTTCTACTTTTTGGGTTTCTTTTCCTAAGGATGTCACTGTGGATGCTTGAAAATCTCAGCACTGAAAGCATGGGCATAAATTGGACACTTTCCTCTCATAGTTTCAAATGCATTTAAGTTTTCCTTATGAGTTAACCTGAAGGGTTTGATGTCTGCTAGCCACATTGACTTACCCAGTACCTTTCTGTCCCATTTACAGTGCATGTGAAAAAAAAATAGTAGTAACTCTCTCAAGAGTACACTGATGGCTCTCTAGAAGGCTTAAAGTTTATTTTTATTAAATTTCTATAGCCTCCAGAAATGGCACTTTGAATATATCTTTCAGGTACTTTCTTCTTTTTACATATTTCAGTTCATTCCAGTTTACCATGGCAAATGCCACTCTTTGGCCTTGTTCCATTGCATAACAAGACTAGATTACAGTTCAAGGCTCCTACAGTTAAGGCTTTGCCATTGTAATTAATGAGACAGTGTGTGCCAAGCCTTGGAGTTAATTGGCGCATTGGTTACAAAAGCATTCATCTGAAAGCCTTAAAACATGCCAGCTAAGCCAGGTGACAACACAGTATATAGAAAAAAAATATACCCTAAAAGCAGTATCCCATTGCCTCACCCTTAGTACAAAATCAAACAGTGACTTATGCTGAACTTTTCAGATTTATTCCCGAACAATGCAGAGATAGAGGAATGTGTTTTACATTTGTTTGGCCTGAATAAACCAGCAGAAAGCAGTGGAATTTCTACTATAAGACTGTGCTTCCAGAGCACACAGGTGAGAGGACTTCTGTTCTATTGACAGAAGAATAGGGGTATTTTCCTACAAAGTGGATAGTCTACAGGGAGTTTGGATGTCAGTATTAAAATTAAGGGTATATCTCTGTTGTGGATTAATCCAAATGTTCTAGTGACTCAAGGGATATGATAGATTTAATAAAAAAATGAAAATAATAGAGAACTCTCACCCTTATAAAGAAGTTCAGAGAAAATAAATTTTTGCCCATCTTTTCCACACTCCCCAAATCTTAAAGATCTTCCCCACTGTGTTTCAGAAAAGACGCTCCATTTTTATGACCTGTTTCCTCTATGCTGATTATAAAGGTGGCTACAGCCAAAAAAACAGGACATTAACTAGATAGAGAGCAGTGCACAATTTCTATTTAGACAAGCTTCACTGTGATCACCAGACAAACCTAAAACCTGTGAAAATGCAACCTTTCATCCAGAAAAGATCCAGATTTACAATAGGGAAGAGCACATGTGAGAGAGAAAGGAAGGTACTCAACACAAACTAGCATCAATATCATCCAAGTATATGTTCCTAAGTTGTGTTCCACATCATCCTGTAGCCTTTGACTCATTCCTGGCCTGTATTAAACATGATGAGCTATAGACAGTCCCTCCTCTCACAGGCAATTATTTGTGCAGCATCTCGGGGAACAGGCCCTGGGTAACCTTCAGGAGACTCCCCACTTGGGTCTTCCTGGGGAATTTAATGTCACTCTCTTCCTAACAAACACACCCCTGCAAGTGCTCTTTCACACAGCCCCAAGATGTGGTGCCTCCTCGTGCTGCTCCCAAGGA